AAGTGGTAGAAGCAATGGAGGGGTCAAATCTAGGACAGGATAAAATACTAGAGCCACACGCAAGTATCCTATCACTAGGTAGGCAACCTCTGCCAAAGTGATTTAAAGCCCCTGTAGTCCTGGATTTAGAGTGGATGCTTATGGCGCCGTGGCCAGGTGGTAGGCAAGCGACGAGACCCTCAAGAGGTCTGCTTGCACGAAAAGTTCCTGATTGGCCTCCTCGAGAGCCCAGCCTACGGATCTGTCTACGAGTCCTGTTAGGATCTGCAGGAGTTCCCCGAGCTTGGCCACGCAAACCTATCAGATGATCGAATTTTACTTCATCTGGCGAATACCGATGTCTGACATATGCCCGACGACGTCGTCTACATGAGGAGCTGGTGTTACGTCGTGCCATGAGTAGGGCAATGTTCGAAGAACCGCAACTTGGAAATGGGGTATATGGACGAGCTGGTCCATTAATTCCACGAGTGATAATAATTCTTGTCGGAAAATTAGTGCACAAAGTACCTCCCAACGAAGTGTTCCGCATCCGTTGTTTGCGCCTGAAAAGAGTAATATAAAAAGTAGAGTATAGATAAGAGATAGGATTGAATTAAGAAGCCAAATAGAAGATCAAGTTTCGCTGATCTGCCAAGCAGATATAGATTTCAAAAATATGGAATTATTTCAATACTTTTGCGTCCAGGTAAAACAATTCTGATAGTCTACTTTTCGTCACATTTATGTGGTTATGCCTAGGAGAATCAAAATAATGCAGTTTTCCCCTTCGATTCTCCTTTTCCAAAGATTTTCTATTATATTTAAGTTCCGTACCACGTGAGCTGCTCCAATCTAACTTAATTTCAGGCCATCGGTGTTATTGCATTCTTGACTTATGGCCAAGCAACTAACCCTTCTTGCATGCATTTTGTAGGTTTTTATAGGGCGGTTTCGCGTATTCATATGTTTGTATATCATATTTTCGAGCTATAGTGTAGATGCTCTGAATCCATTAAGTCGTCTATCAGTTTATTCAATGAGAACTTAGTCATCCAGAGTCGCTTAGAAGGAGAGATAATTGATTTTTTGCAAGTGATGTGAGGCCT